TGGTGCCATTAGCATCATTTTACAAATGAGGACACAGAGGCTCAGTAACTTGCTGGGAAGTAGCTGAGTGGGTCTGAGTCGAGTTAGACTGCCCCAGAGTCTGTGCTCATCATACAGTGAGTGGGTGAGTGAGTGAGTGAGCAGCTTAGGCCTCTTACTCCCCTACCCCTTGGTGACCTCACCAAGCTCACAAGGTTGCCAGATAAAATACAGGACACCCAGTTCAATCTGAATTTTAGATAAACAAACAATTATGTGGGGAATAACATACTAAAAATGTATTTGCTGAAATTCATATTTGACTTGAGTGTGCTGTGTTTGATCTGGCAGCCCTGTCTCCCCAGTCTCTGTCCTCACCTGTGCCCCAATGCCCCACCTCAACCCTCACTGTGGGCAGAAGCCCGCCCCCTCACCTCTCTTGCTGGACACACACTAAGTCCCGCTGGGTACAGGACCTCTCCTGATGGCCTTCCCAGGCAACCTCCTGCAGGGTGAGTGGGGCTGTTGTGGGTGGGCTTGGCAGATGGGGGGGTTCAGAACAATCAGGTTCTTGGTCTGGGTAGCCTTCCTGGCTAAGTAAGGCCATGTTGGGCTGGACTAAAGGGGCCGGGGGCACCTCTGTCATGACTGTGTATCCCCCTTACCTCTCCTCCTTCTTTGGTTCTAGGGAGCCCCCTTTACCCTCAGACAGGCTATGTGCCTGTCCTGGCCCTGCAAGAAAGTAGCTGCTACCGTCTTCTCCCTGCTACTTCTCCGCCCAGGGCCACGGGAAGCTCTTACTGTCTGCCTTTCCTGACTTCCTGTTGATTCTTCAGGAATGTTACTCTGGTGCTGAGCCCCTATGGACTCCAGGCCTGGGGGTGGGAGTATCTGAGGTGCTAGGGCTGCCCACTGGCTGAAGGATCAGGGTGGGCAGGTGCTTGGGAGCCCTTCTGGACCCAGACACCAGGGAATTCTGCTCCTTCCTCCCTGCCTCCTTCCCCTCAGTAGCCTTGGCAAGAGGCTGTTCCCTGCATGTCTCAAATTCCTGTAACCCCCATGCCCTTCCGGGGCTCACTGGCTCTCACGCTGCCCGTTTTCCAGACCCACTTTCCTCCTGGCCCACCAAGCATGTGAGCGTGTGCACACGTGCACGCACACACACACATGCGCACACGCGTGCACATACACATACACACACGTGCATGCGCACCCACCCTATGCACAACATACCCTTGCTCTAGACCTCACCTGCTCAGTACACACCTGCTCTGTGCAGGTTACCCCGCTATGCACACAGCACCCCAGGCTTGCTCTGGCCTCTGCCCACCCCCTCTACCCACGCTTGCCCTTTGACACACAGCTTGCCCTCTCTGAGCTTCTGTGGCCCTATCTGGGAAAAGGAGGGGACTGAGAGGCTCAGAGCAGGACTTGCGCTTTCCCAGGACCCCTCTCTCGGGCAGTTTCCGGCCCCAGCTTGGACTTACCAGGCAGAACTGCTGAGATCCCAGACCACACCCACCCTCCCAAACCACCCAGGCTGTTGGAAGCTTTGGGGCCTCACCACCATCCTGACCCCTCTCTGAGGGCTGAGATAAGCGGCTGCTTAGGGACGGTGTCTCGGGCCCAGCTGACAACACGGGATGGGGCAGGAGGCGCCACAGCTTTTGGCCTGAAGAAGGACCCAGTACAGGAACATGTGTGTCAGACACCCTGTCCCTCTTCTATTCTAGGGCCCTGCCTCCGTTGCCTTCTTCATTATCATTTATTCAGCCTTAAATTGAGCACTCTGTGTACTGAACACAGTCCTTTAGAGTTAGGCTCCCCTGACAAATCCCAGCTCCACCACTTACCAACCAGGTGCCCCTGGACAAGTTAGCCAGCCAGTCTGTACAATGTGCCCATGTGACCACCTCTCAGACGGTGGTGAGACTCCACACAGGCTTCCACCTCTCACACATGCTCACCATCATTTTTACTGCTATTAGGTCAGGATGGGCCCGCACCCACCCACCTACCCGGTCTGTCAGGGTGGCTGTGGGCAGGGGTGCTTGGATTGAAGCCCACAGAAGTTGTAGGAGGCATGTGCACCTGCTCAGAGCGGTAGGAATGAGGTTGAGGAAACGTGTGGGTTTGGATGGGCAGAACCTGTAAATGTGCCCTGGGTGGCTGGCAGGGAACCAGGCTCTTCTATAGCCCCGCCCTTTTGTCTCTGTGGGCCTTGTCCTTTCTGACACCCCAGTATCCATACTCCCCGAGTTCAGAAGCGTGCACAGTAAGGAAAACAGGCCTCCACCAGGGACCCAGCCCTTGGCCCAGCCTAGCACTTTACCCTCATTCTGTTTTGCTTCTCTTGGGGTGTGTGGTCTGGGGGTAGTAGGATCCACGGTCCAGTGCCAGCTAGGCAGGGTGACTAGAGCCACTCCCACCCCCAACAGGCCTCTGGGGAGCTAGAGATGGGGGCCAGGAAGAAGGCCCCCTTCACATGGGAACCTATTGGGGTGAACAGGGGGGCCTTTCCAGAGCTCAGGTGGCCTCCCTTGAAGGCCTTGTTTGTAGAAGCTTCTAGACAAAGCAGGCCTTCAGTGATTCACCTCCATTTCCTGCCTTAGTCATTCACCTCCACCCCCACCACAAGATTGGCACTGAGGGCCCTGGGATGACCGGGTCAGGGGAGGTGGCCCAGGCTGCAGAACTTAGCCTAGTTGTCACAGCTGGGCTGTTGAAAGAAAGGCAGACCCGGTCATAGTGACACTGACTGCCTATCCCATTGTTTCTCAGGGTGGGAGAATTCAGAGGTTACCCAGATGGTGGGGGTGGGGTGACTGGAGGTCTGGTGAACATGTCCCCCACACCCAGCTCTTTGGAAAAAAGAAGGTTCCACCTTCCCTTCCTAGCCAGGAAGCACTGAATGGCCACTGACCCTTCTAGAGAGCCACAAGCCAGATCCTGAGAGACCTCTTGGAGCCAACAGGGCCACAGGCTGCCCAAGGGACATCAGCCTCCTAAGGATGAAATGTTTCCTCCTGTCCTGACTTTAGTTCTCATCCATGGTTGCCCTCCCAGGTCACAGAGTAAACTCTCGGCCATCCAATCAATTGGGACTAATGGTGGCCCTAAAGGACAGAGTGGAACTGTTCCTTAAGGTTTTCTGAGACTGTACATTTCTATGGGAGCAAACAGTGTCATCTTCTTCCCTCAGAGTGACCTTTCAGTTATCAGCTCAATGCTTACCCCACGGGGAGTCACAGCCTAAATTCTTAAATACCTACTGGGTAAGAAGAATTTGCACGATGCGCCTTGCAGCTTCTCTCAGGTGACTCCAATGCACAGCCAGGGCTGAAAAGAAAAGTCTCTGGCAAGTGGGGAAGGGCTGGGAAAAGCAGCACCGCCCCCTGCAAGAAATGTTTGCTGGGAACCTGGTTTATTAAAGTCTACTGAAAAGACAATATGAATGGTTGTTTTTTTGTTTTGTTTTTGTAAAAAGTGCTGTCGGTGGTCAGGGAGGGGTTTCCTTGCATTTTAGGACAAATTAAGGAAGGCTTTGTGGAGGAGTTGGTGTCTGAGCAGGTCTGTAAAGGACTTGGGTATGACAGAGAGGAGGAGGAGATAGGATCCTACCAGAGTGAGTGTCCAGGGAAGACCAGGGGTCTTCAGTTCCTAGGTCAGAACTTGTAATCGGTGGCCTTCAGAGGAACTGGCCCAGTCTTGTGTTTTATTTGGCCCACACAGTGTTGTTATGTTAACTTTCCTGCAATACAGCCAACATTGAAAAATCTGGAGATTTCACAGGCAGATCCAAACCCAGTTCCCTGGAAATGCTGTCTCCTCCCTCCAAAGGGTTCCTGGTCCCCACCTCTTGACTCCTACTGAGGTGAACTGGAGCCAGCCCAGGGAGGATTTAGAGCAGGGTGCAGTAGAGCCAGGGCTGGTCAGCACAGGTTTGAGGGGCTAGAGGATGAGTAGGTATTGGCCACACCATAGAAACCTCTGACTCAAGACTGGGTTTTTGATTTTGCAGTATCATGGAGTCCTGGTGTAGTTGCTGCTGTTGGATAAGCACTAGACTGCTAATCACAAGGTTAGCAGTTCAAACCCACCAGCAGCTCCTTGGGAACCCTATATAGGGTAGATATAAGTCAGAACCAACTCCATGGCACTTAACAACAACAGTGCCATGGTGAGCATGAGGCCTCACATTAGTACCACCAAAGCCACATAATTGGGAAGTGAAAGATTGGGACTTGACTCCCCAGACCTCTGAATTTAAATTCTGCTCTTCCCCACAGTCTCCTGTGGGGTGGGGGTGGGGAAGGGAATGATAGGACCAGGAGAAGAGCAGCTAGGATGTCTGTAGTGGCCGAGGGTGAATGAAGGTCTAAGCCCTAGATTGGAAGCCTACTTCTACAATTCCCTAGCTGGTGGGTTGTGGCCACTTAAGCATAGACCTTAGCATCTGCTGTTCTTCCTTTTTGTTTGGGAAAGGAGAGGTGAGCAACTTGGGTGGTCATGAGGGAGATTTGGGTTAGGTAATGAAAGGACCTTCCTAATGGCAGGGTTTCACATCAAGGAAAGGGCTGATGGTGAGGCCAAAGCTCTGCTGGAGAGGGACAGGGACATACGGGCCAGTCAGGGCCAGAGCCCAGTCTGGAAGGCTGGAAGTTGGGATGGAGGAATGTGACAGAAAGGGCGGCCTTTATTGGGGTTTTTTCCAGTCTCTGTCTGAAGGGTTCCTCTACTCCAGGGGCTTCCAGAGGTGGTTGCTTGGCAGAAAGGTGAGGGGGGCCGTTACTATCGCCCCTCTCAAGGGAGTCCGGGTGGGACACACCAAGCAGGAGCGTAAAGTTAATTGGGGGCTTGTTACAATAAGGAGAGATCTGGAGGGCGAGGGACACTGACTGAGGGCCAAGGGTTCGGAGAGGCTCTAGGCGGGAAGACCAGAGCTCCCAGCTGGGAAGGGAGCCCCGGGCAGGGATAGGGCCTGAGGGCCAGGAGCCCCGACCTGCCCTCCTGCCCTGCAGGCCTGACGGAGGACGAAGATGTGCGCGCCATGCTGCAGGGCTCACGGCTGCGGAAGATCCGCTCGCGGACGTGGCACAAGGAGCGGCTGTACCGGCTGCAAGAGGACTGCCTGAGCATCTGGTTCCAGCGGCGTATTCCTCGCGCGCCGTCACAGCACATCTGTGAGCGGGGACCGGGAAGGCGCGGGGCAGGGCCGGCCGGCCGACCGGCCGACCCCCAGTCCTGACGACCCGCCTTCCCTGGTCCCTCCGCAGTCTTCGTGCAGCACATCGAGGCCGTCCGCGAGGGCCACCAGTCCGAGGGCATGCGGCGCTTCGGCGGCGCCTTCGAGCCCGCGCGCTGCTTCACCATTACCTTCAGAGGCCAACGCAAGAACCTGGACCTGGTGGCACCCACGGCCGAGGAAGCGCAGCGCTGGCTCCGCGGCCTGGCCAAATTGCGCGTGCGCCTTGACGCCATGAACCAGCGGGAGCGACTCGACCAATATCCTTCCCGCCCGCTAGGGGGCCCGCGGGCCGGGGGAACCCAGGAGGGAAAGGGGCGCGGGGCCACGTGTCATCCCGAGGGCGGTGCGGTGGGCCCTCCGCTCATGCCCAGGGCAGGCACGAGCGCTGCCTTCAAATCCACAGCCCAGGTCTTCAGAGCTAAGATGGAGGAGGCACGTGCCCTTGCCCTTGTCTGAGCTCCCATAGGAGCTACCTGAGTACTGGGGCTTCCTGAAGGCGGAGACCCTGCCTGCTGTCTTCTGGGAGCCCTAGTCCCATTGAGGGGACACTGCTGAGGGGGGAATGTAGCCCCTATACTAGAGAGTCCTGTCCTCAGGCCTCCAGGTGGTGTGACCCGTCAAGTGGGGCCAGTGCTCGGTCTGTTGCTTGTCTTTCCTGAGCATGTCACTTGGATCCACTTCTATCTGCACCGGGCAGACTCCAACCAGGACAGTAAGATGAGCTTCAAGGAGATCAAGAGCCTGCTCAGAATGGTCAATGTGGACATGAATGACATGTACGCCTACCACCTCTTCAAGGTGAGCTGCCAGACCGGAACCCTGGCCCCCAACCTTGCTACCCCTCTGCCCTCCATCCTCCAGAGCAGCTGAATCACAGGCCCCCACGCCACTCAGCTGTTGTGAAGGGAGTGCCTCTCCTTGCAGAAAGGCCACATCTGGGCCTAGTTATCCTTTTACACTCCCCTCTCCTGAGACCACTAGGCTAGGGCTGGATTGGGGAGTGCCGGCTCAGAACCTCTTTCCTCCTTAAGCAGAGTTCAAGGGAAGGGAAGACCCCACCCTCTCCTAAGTGGGCAGTAGTTGCTGTGTTCCTTTCTCTCAGCCAGAGCATGCTTGCTGCACACCTGACCCCCTGTGGCTTGCACACAGGAACAGCACACCTCACACGTAGGAGCACGGAGACACACAGGGGCAGGCTGTACACCTATGCTCATAGATGTTGAGCCTGAACTGCCTGTGACCACCTACCTGTACCTTGTGCCAATAGCTCCTTGAATGCTTACTTCCTGTTGCCCACTGGCTGGGTGGGTTTGTGTGAGGATAGTAATGTGTACACGCAGGGGACTCAGTCCTGCCCCAGGGCCACCATTTTTTGGTATCACATCTTGATTCTCGTGTTTGGTCCTGAAACAGTAGAGGGACAGGCGGTGAACATGAGAGACTTGCCGTTTACAGCTGTGAGACTTGAATGGGACCCTGAGCCTCACTAGCTCTCAGTTTCTTCGCCTGAGAAATGGGGCCACCAGCCTTCCCAGCTGCTGTCAAGCGATGGTCATCAATGTGTCGGTGTGGGCCAGGGCGGCCCCTCCCCTGAGCTCCTGGTTCTTGCCCTCTCTCCCCAGAAGTGTGACCACTCCAACAATGAGAGGCTGGAAGGGGCTGAGATCGAGGCATTTCTGCGGCAGTTGCTGAAACGCCCTGAGCTGGAGAAGCTCTTCCATCAGTACTCTGGGGAGGACCGTGTGCTGAGTACCCCTGAGCTGCTCGAGTTCCTGGAGGACCAGGGTGAGGACGACGCCACACTGACCCGTGCCCAGCAGCTTATCCAGACCTATGAGCTCAACGAGACCGGTGGGTGTCTAATGGGGGGGCGATGGGGGAGGGGTGCGTAGGTTAACTCAAGCAGGCTTTGATCTCTGACAAGTCTGCGTACCCAGGTAAGCAGGCATCACTCATACAGGCTGTAGGTGCCATCTTGGGCCGGAGACCTCATGGTTTTTGGAAACTCAGCTTCCGCATCCGTAAAATGGCTTTATAACGTACCTTCTTCAGAGGATTTGGTTGAAGATTAAATGTCATAATTTGCATAGCATCCACTCAGTTGATGGGTGCTCATTGTTACTCTCGCTTGCCCCTCCCTGTAGCCAAGCAGCATGAACTGATGACTCTGGATGGCTTCATGATGTACCTGCTGTCGCCCGAGGGGGCTGCCCTGAATCTGGCCCACATGAGCCTGTTCCAGGACATGGACCAACCCCTCGCACACTATTTTATCTCCTCTTCCCATAATACCTATCTGACCTATTCTCAGATCGGGGGGCCCAGCAGCACCGAGGCCTACATCAGGTATCGTAGGGATGGACGAGTGGTGGTGGGGTGAGGCCAGCGTAGGTGAAATATGGAGATTGGCTCCCACCATGAACTCCCTGGAAGCTGTCTGCCCAGCTGTGCTCAGAGGCACACCACCACACCTTGCCTGTCCATCTGTTCATTTGCAGGGCCTTTGCCCAGGGATGCCGCTGTGTGGAGCTGGACTGCTGGGAGGGCCCAGGAGGGGAGCCCATTATCTACCATGGCCACACACTTACTTCCAAGATCCTCTTCCGTGATGTGGTTCAGGCTGTGCACGATCATGCCTTCACGGTGAGCCCCGGGGCCCTGCATTCAGTTCCATGGTCTTCATAGCAACCCCATCCACATGGCAGACCCCCCCAGTCCTTCAAAAATAACCTCCTGTCCAGAGAATTACTCATGCACAATTGGGTAGAATAGCTGGATGAGATGCTCCTATTTCTACCCTCACTTTTAGTAAATATAATAAACCCACAAAACTGCTAGAAGGAAATCTTGGGCTAGGGAATGCTATTTTAACCATGACTCCCAAGGAATAAACCAGAACTAAAAGAAACTCAGCAGTGGTGTCTATACAACCATTACAAGTCCTGTCAAGCTGTATGACTCTTAGCCAACCATCAACGAATGACAGGCAAGAGGAACAAGTTTGCAAGGTAAACTGTGTAGTCGATGTCATTAACAAATGAAGAGCATTTATGAAAGATACCCTCCCTGGAGCCACTGCAGCCTCCCAGACCATCCTTCCCTGAGGTCCCAAAACAGACCTCGGAGCCTTGTGTGTGTCCCATGTCCCTCTTCCTCTCAATCTTCCCAGAGTGGGCTCCCCCAGAGCCCTGCCTTTGCCCGCCTGTCCCAAAGGGAATAGGGGGTAGGGGGAGGCCCATGGAGGGATGACTCTGAGTTGCTGCCTCTCCCCAAAACAGCTGTCCCCATATCCTGTCATCCTGTCCTTGGAGAACCACTGTGGCCTCGAGCAGCAGGCTGCCATGGCCCGCCATCTCCGCACCATCCTGGGGGACATGCTGGTGACAGAGGCACTGGACTCTCAGGACCCTGAGGCACTGCCATCTCCGGAGGTGACACTCCCAGGCCCCAACCTGGATAGGGGCAGGGTCTGGCTGGGGTCTGTCCAGCTCACGCCACCTCCCTGGTACAGAACCCCTCCATCTCTGTGCCTTAACTTTCCAGCCCTTGTCCCCTGCTCCTCCTCTAAGTGCTGTCATGGCTGCCTTCTGGCTCTCTGCTCTCGACTCGTTCACCCTTCTTACCTGGCATTCAAGCCCTGCCCTGGCTACCCAGGCTCCTGCCGACAGAATCCCTGCAAGCTCAGCCTTGCCCACCTGGATTCCCCTCCTAGCCATCTGTGTTTACCCAGTGTCAGCTGCTTCAAATTCTTGTTAAGCTGTCCAGGTGGCTCAGACTCATAGTGACCCAGTATAGGGTTTCTGAGGAGAAGCTGGTGAGCTTGAACTGTCGATCTTGTGGTTCAAACTCCTTGTGGTCAAATGCTTTTCCTACAATGCTAAGCCTGGACTCCAGCTCAGTTTAAACTGCCTCTTCCAGACCCTTCAGGCCTCTGGGCATCCTTTCCTCTCAAACCCTAGAGCACTTGACCCTCCCCTCACTGGACTGCAAACCACAAAGTTGGCAGTTAGAGGCTCCCAGCTGCTCCATGGGAGAAAGATGACGCTTTACAGCCTTGGAAACCCTATACAGGGTTGCTGTGAGTTGGAGTTGGAACCAACTCAATGGCATTTAACAACCAACCAGATAGTTACCCTTTTCTGGCTCCCTGTGGGCACTCTCCCTTCCTGGGGATTACTCCCAAATCCCAGATGTGCAGGAATGTTGATTCAGCTTGGTAATATGATTTGATTTTTGTTGTTAGTATGAAAAGAACATTGTTTTTTTACTCATATTGAATCAGTACCACTGTGAGTCATGGTGACCACAGATACAATGGGATTGTGACCCATAGGGGCTTCGTTGACTGAATAAGTTTCAGTGGAGCTTTTAGACGAAGATAAACCTAGGAAGAAAGCCTGGAGATCTTTCTAGTTTGTCATAGTCTGGAAGCTCCACTGACATCTATTCAGTATCATAAACCCCAAACCAAAGCCACTGCTGTGGTCACTTCTGACTCATAGTGGCCATTAGCACAGAGGAGGACTGCCACATGGGTTTGCAAGGCTGTAAATCTTTATAGGAGCAGACAGACTCATCTTTCTACTGAAGAGTGGCTAGTGGGTTTGAACCAGTGACCTTTTGGTCAGCAGCCCAATACTTAACCCACTGCACTACTATGGCTCCTGTGCCATATTATACATATGGTTTAAAATTTTCAAGCTGCACCAAAGGGTATACAGTGAAAAGTGGGTTTTCCTCCATTCAGGGCCCCCATAGTTCATGAGAAGTAGCCATCTTCAACAGTTTCTTGTATGTGCTTCCAGAATTTTCCCTTGCATAGACATTTGTGCACATGACACTTTTAAATGTAGCACTTACGTGTTATACACTTCTTTCTTTCATGTACACTCTTTTCTTTTAAAACTTGATGGTGAATTGAGTGAAGGTTTACAGAGCAGATCATCAGTTTTCCATTCAACAAATACTTGGCTTCATTCTATGGATGCAATCCCCTGTGTGCACCAATAGTTCACAGCATTGACTGCGATTCCTTTTAACCCCTGCGTTCCTCCCTGTGTCTCCCACCACCCCCATCTTTCCTCTGCCAACCTCCCTCCGGTTGTGTATTGCCTGCCTGTCACCCATGTCAACGCATGTCTACCCTCTAGCGTATGAATCATTTCCTCCTCCCCCCAAAACCATCATAGATGGTTTCTTTTATCAAGAAAACCCCTCTTTTTTTTTTTTTTTTTTAATTTGATGCACAAAGGAATATATATATATTCCCACACAGGAACTTATAATCATTTAAACAATCAAAGGGCACATTAGAGTCTCCCTGTTCTTCTTTCTTGATGGCCCTAGGGTCCTTTGTACCTGGAATATAAGATTAACTACTCCCCTTTCTTTTTGTTACATAACTTCTACCTTCACAGTTGCAATTAGGTATAATAATAATTACTCACTATTGAATTAAATGAAGTCTATAGAGGTGACCCAATGGAATGCAGAAATCATCGGACAATCTCTTTTATATCCCATGTGAGTTAAGTTTTGCTAAAGGTAACACAGAAACAGCTGCAAGCATACATTAACAGAGAACTTCCAGAGGTTCAAGCCAGATTCAGAAAAGGCTGTGGAATGAGGGATATCACTGCTGATGTCCGATGGATCTTGG